GATTATTTAGTATTGGAATATAATTAGATGGAGTTTGAATTTTTTTTTTTTTAAAAAGTGAACAGTACCGTATGAACAGTGTCGAATGAATAGTAAAACCGCCTATGAACAGTGCAAACTGTATATGAACAGTAAAAACCGCGTATGTGCAGTGACCGCTAACGTCATCAGTGACATCATCTTGACTTCATGGCTGACGTCACATACGCGTACAGTGCATGTACAGTACGCGTGCACAGTGTTTCCAGCGTGAATAGTGTCCTGAACAGTGTTTCTGGCATGAACAGTAATGCAGTGAACAACGTTTCCGGCGATAAACAGTAATTCTGGCAGTGAACAGTAAATTTCAAAAAATTTCTATTAAAAGGGGGCTTCACACGAAATTTTCATTTCTTTACTCATATCCAAGGTTCTCAAAGGTTCTAAGGCCATATACCACCATTTTCTCTCATATTAAACCCTCCTAAACTTAGATTTCTCGCCAGATCTGAGATTCTATGTCTATTCTGAGGGATTTAAAGTAAGTTTCTTTAAGTTTGAAGCTAGATTTACTGTTCATTTCTATTCTTCTTCTCTTTCTCATAGAAGTTCATGGTGTTCTTAGGAGAAACTCCGTTCTAAAGCCAAATCTTCGGTGAATCTTGCTATAAGACAAGTAATATTCGGTAGATCTAGTGTGAATCATCGTTCTGAGGTAAGGGGAGCTTACTTTAACCTATGAACTACGTTTTGAATGGTTTAATATGCTATTTCAAGATATTTTGATATGACTTTGTTAGATCTATTGAATAAAAGCTATTTTCTAAGCTGTAACTACTGTTAATTGATTTAAAATGCTGAGATTTTGGGTGATCTATTTTAAACTTTCCTTAGCTGAGCTGTTAAAATAATTTTAGCAGTGTGCATCATGTTGAGATATATGTTTTGCATCATTATAGAGCCGAGTTACATGTTTAGGTGGGTAGACGTGTAATGGTAAGTTCATGCTGAGCTGCTGTGCTGTGCTGTCTGGATCCAGATACCGGAATGGGTCGCTCCCGGACTAGCTCGGTTCCTTCTGGTTTACTTAGGCTGTGAAACCAGTTGGAAACCGTTTTCATGCTGTGCATTAGATGGGCTGGAAATGCATGGGGCTATTGCTGTGAGAAATATTTTGCTCTGCATATATGATTTTATTTTATTTTTTGTAAGCTCACCCTTGCATTTCTTTATATGTCGTTGTGTGCGTGTGTACTGCGATGATCGTACGGTGGTATGTGAGCAGATATAGCAGGTGTTGCATCTACTTCACAGGCTGAGGGGTCAGTGAAGAAATGTTAGAAGCTGGAGTCAAGTAATATTGCATCAAAGTCTTTTTTCCTTATATTTTGAGACCTCATGTACAGGAAGCTACGTAATATAATTTTGGGTATTTTGAATATTATGAACTAAATGTAATATATGTTGTTTTATTGGATATTTGTTGTAAGAAACTTTGTTTTATTTTGAATGAGAAGTGAATTTTATACTTATATTCTCTATTATTTATTTATCTTAAATAAGTATGTAATGTAGAAACAATGTTCTTGGTTCCTTATAAAAAAGGGTCATGACAGTATATATATATGTGTGTATTTTTTTAGGCTTGGAATATTTTAAAATATAATAATTTTATTTTAAAATTATACAAAAGAAAATATTTCTTCTTCTTTATCTCATAAAAGAGTCACGTATGAGCTTCACACGAGAGGAAAAAAAATTATTCTAAAAGTATACTTGTTTCTTTTTTAAAAAAACATTATTCATAAAAGAAAAATAAAATGCTCTAAGTACTTTATAGTTCATAAGGCTCCATAATAAAAGAAAGTTTTATTTAATAATAAGAGAATATAATGTTGTTATAGATAATGATATAAGAAGAGAGGAGCAATTACTTGTTTAATTTTAAAGGTTTTTTTTTTATCTCATAAATACTCCCTTATATAATGAAAATTAATCAAAATTTTGTATTTAAAATATTACCGTATCTAAAATATGACCATATCCAACATCTTTTACTTGAAAATTCCTATGGACAAGGGAAGGGTATTTTTATTTATAGTAAAAAGATATTTACTTATTTAAGCTTTCTTATTAGATTGGTTTTCTATAAATTATTATGAATCTTATTGCTTACTTCAAAGTTTGTTAAAAAAATGTTACTATCAATTGCAATAATAATGTTTTATTATCTAGCAGATTATAATATCTTTGCATCATTATAAAGCAAACACAATATTAACTCATGAAAATAATAAATTTAGTCCACCTTCGAATAGAAACAATAATAGTCTTAGTTAATTTATTGGTAATTCTTACGTAAACCAAAAGTTGCATAAAAATGATCTACAGTAATTGCACATTTTTGTACACTGCAATTAAAAGACGTGTTAATATTTCACATTCATAAAAAAAACTAGTTGTTTTTATAAAAAAAAAACTAGTTGTTTTAAGAAGTAATTATCTTTTCACGTGATATCAATTATTTTATTAAAAAAATGAGACGAGAATTATATTTAATTACCTTTGTGATAATAAATGTAAATTAGCTTTTTGTATTCTAGAGAAAAAGCGTGCATTTGTTACAATTTAAGCAATAGTATTAAAAAAAAGGTCATGGTGCAGAATTGTTCTGATTTAATCACTGAAATTTGAGTATATATTCAGTCACAATATTTTCTAAAGAAGGAATTTGTCAATTACAGAAATTATATTTAATTTAAATAAAATTGTATTTTATGAAAAACATATATTATTCAGATTAAAAAAATAATATTTATAATATAAAAAAATAAAAAAATAGCATCTCACATTTATTTTTCTGCTTTTGTGTCGGATAGATCAGGATGAAAATCAGTTAAAAAAATATTTAATATGTTGTCGCAAGCGTCTCACAGAGCACCGACAGATTGATAGCGAGTTTTAAACTTTTCCACTTTCGTTTGGGCCCACGCAGACAGTTACTGTCTTCTCCTCAATACTCACATGTTTCCACCACTTTGTCGGTGTCTTTCTGTTACTTTCCTGTAATATTTCTAAACAGCACATAAATATTTAGCATTTTTCTAACATTTATTATTTTATAGTTATTTTTATTATTTTTTGATAAAAATATAAGTAGGAAAAATAACCATACAAAATCAAGTGTTATTGCTTTAGTAAACGGAGTATGTACCTTAAAAATCTGAAAAATAAAATAAAATCCTCAGCAGCATCGGAGAATGGCTTGAGTAGCCAATTCAGACAAAACAAAAAAAAAATCCAAATTTAATGGCTTGATGTCTTCATCAGTCACATTGATCTTCATCAATTATATATTATTAGCTGGCATGTGAAAAGAGCAAATCGCTTCCTAATCAATGTTCTGATTTAAGAAGGCATGTTGGTGTGAGTAATAAATAACTTCTCATTTTTGTAATATAGATTTTAGGTTTTGGTTTGTAAGAATGTATTAGGATAAATTTTAGTTATTAAGAGATTATTAGTTTATGTTAAAGTACATATTTTACCAGTTTACCTTTATAATTGAGATTTTTTAGTTTGGATTTTATGTTTAAAAAAAATTCTGTTGAAAAGATTAGTTATACCGTACTCTTATTTTTGGTAAAGAGTTATAACATATTATAAATTTTATAGAACATAAATAATTTTGTAAAAAATAAAAAAAATCATTACATAAAAACATAATAATGTTATTTAGTATGAATTCTACAAAGTGAAAATGTTGTTGACACCACTAAAATAAACAATGATAAAAGAGTAAAATTAGATGAAATAGAAACAATTACCTAATTAAAATTTTATGTTCATCACTCATTTGTTATAAAAAGTTTAAAATATTGAATTTATTTGGCTATTTTTAATTAACAATTATAATTTTTCATTTTATCTAATGAATATATGTTACAAATTAAAAAGATAGACCTATTAGACTGATTTTACTGTGCATTTGGATTAAATTATTTTTGAAGATCATAATATATTTTTATAAAATAATATATATAATCTTATTTTCTTGTTTGTTAATCAAACTAAATTATTTCTATTATAATTATTTTTCAAATATGCATATTTTAGATATTATAATTTAAAACTAACAATTTCATACAGTTATTTTATTTCCAATAATTATTTAATTTTAATATAAAAACCATTTACTACAAAAAGGTATTTATTTTAAACAATCTAAATAAAATAAATTATGTGAAATGTATACCTAAATATGTAACTTTTTTTTTTTGATAGGCACCTAAATATGTAACTTATTTCAATTAATCTCCAAAACTAATCCAATCCAGACGTGAAAAATAATCCAATTCAAACACATTAACTCAAAATTACTATTCGGCTTTGAAGAAATATAAACTTATGCTTTATTTGTTTGATATAAAAAATAATGTAAAAATGGAAAAATGTAAAAAAAGAAAATTTTTAGGTGTTTGAATGTTTTGTTTTACATGAGTGAAAAAAAATTATTTTTTATGAGACACGCAAAAACTTTCTCACATGAAATGGGAGATTTTGTGGAGAAAAGGGTAGTGAATTTTTTTATTGTATTTTATTGAAAATATCTTTGAAATAAAAAAATAAAAAAACTAATTAATTAAAAAACGTTATATTAATTTTTTTCAAAATAAAATTTCTATTACTTTTATAGAAATATTTTTATATATAGACTACTTATTTTATCCAAATAAATAAAGTAAAATTTTCTTTCTCTTATTTTTATCTATTTAAACAACACATTTTTTTTCTTTTATTTCATTTATGATATATTTCTTTCTCATCTTATTCTTTTTTGGATATTTTTTTTCCTACACATTTCCTAATGCATCCTATCATAATTTCACTTGTTGAATATACAAATAAGATCTTCTCAATGGATTGTTTATAGTTATGCAATTAAGACTGTGGCTTAAAGGAGTTTCATGACACTCTCAGTTCATTTTAAAACCAAATCTTCTCTTTTGTCATGGAACTAGAGAGCTGAGAGGCCTATCCCTCTATTTGCTCTCTCCTTTTTTGGTGCAGATCTTGAAATTGAACTACATTGTCATAGAAAATCTGCACCACGAAATGGAATCCACCATGTTACCCTCCATTGGATCTATTGCCTCTCGTGGTGCTGCTTGTACTGTCTTGCTCATGATACTGCTCTCTTGCTACACATTCAATTCTACAGGTATTTGTTGGTTCTTATTGTCTCTTTTCAATGGAGCTCAAACTTAGTTTCTGGAAGTACTTTCACACTTGCTCTCTGGTTCTGCTCTCGGGCTATGTAAGCAAGAGGGTCATGAGTCTAAATTGTCCAGTTTTATGAACAAACAAGTCACTTGAGCTTAAACTCATACTCTCCATCATTCTTGGATTGGGCCACACCCAAGTTCTTTTCTCATTTTCCTTTTTCTCCAAAATTCTGGCTCTTTCGATAAAACTGTGGTGAAGGCGGATGAATGGCATTTTCATTTTCTACATTTGATTGGATGGTTGGATGCATGGATTGTTATTATTCCCTGTAATAACCTTGCTATCATTTTGGATCCTCACTTCTTTGTGTCGGTTCATAATCTTTGTTTGACATTTTAGCTGATCAAATAAGAAAGTGCAAGAACATCACTTAATTCAAATGGATTCTTGGCCATCGAGATATTTCTTAATATGGTTGCACTGTAAAGGAAATAAAAATAATTTATTTCCTTTTATCTGTGTACTTGTTGCAGATTGGTGTCTACCAATAGTCTTTGTATAACTATAGATACAGTTACACATTCTGTGGATATGACAACTAATTTAGAGAAGTTATAATTTTAGTAATTATATGGATGTGATGATAAATATCTCTTCGATTTCTTAAAATTGAAGAGGGAGAAAATGGAAGAATATGCTCCTAACAGTTCCCTTATTGTGATGGATACTACTTACACTCACCTTTTTCTCAATTGGTTTGATTCTATACTATTCACATGAGAGACAATTGAGTTAGATGTATAGAGAGATCTGGTATGTTAGAGCTTTTGTTATGAAATTACTGAGAATCTAAAAGTTCTCAAATTTTCCTGCTTGTTCATTTACAGAAGCCTATGATGCGCTTGATCCAACTGGCAACATAACAATCAAATGGGATGTCATTAGCTGGACTCCGGATGGCTACGTTGTAAGTAATCAGAACTTTCAGAAGGTTGTCTGATTGGTTAAATTTTAGTATGGTTAATTGGTTATTGTTCTTTTAGATATAAACAACTTCACATGTCAAAGGATGAGCAATCCAATGGTTTCCATTTTTTTAATATTTGAATGTCAAATAAATATTAGCTTCTATCTGTTGCTGTTTATTAGAACATATTAAACCTTTTTGCTTTGCTTGAGCAGGCTGTTGTTACAATGTACAACTTTCAACAATATCGCCATATTCAGGCCCCTGGGTGGTCATTAGGGTGGACATGGGCTAAAAAAGAAGTAATTTGGAACATGATGGGAGGCCAAACCACAGAGCAGGGGGACTGTTCAAAGTTCAAAGCTGGAATTCCACATTGTTGTAAGAAGGACCCAACAGTGGTGGATTTACTGCCAGGAACTCCTTACAACCAGCAGATTGCAAACTGTTGCAAAGCGGGAGTCTTGAATTCTTGGGCTCAGGACCCCAGCACAGCTGTAAGTTCTTTTCAGATTAGTGTTGGTTCTGCTGGAACAACCAACAGAACAGTAAAACTGCCTAAAAATTTTACCCTCAAAGCACCAGGACCTGGTTATACTTGTGGTCCAGCAAAAATTGTGAAACCAACAACATTTATTACCAATGACAAGAGGAGAATCACCCAAGCCATGAGTAAGTTGTTTCAAAATTGCATTGATTTAAATTTTTTTGCATATTCATTTGTGTTTTCTAAACTTTTTGGATAAAGCTACCATGTAGATAAGATATGTGTATATTAGTCTCTCTTATATAAATTGAGATGGTTTACAAAATTGAATCTCCCTTTGAACTTTGATTACATTTTTAGTAGTGGCAATTTCCATATAAAACTTTCACTATCATGTTTCATTTCCTATATTTCTTGATAGCAGCAAGCATTGCCTTGGTTGATGAAATGGATTTACATTTTATCAAGCTAATAATTAGACCTGATGAACCATCAATAATTATTCATGCTTTGTACTTTGTCCAGTAGACTTCTGGATACAAAAAACAAATTGTAGCTTCTCTTTGAATTATCTTGCATGTTATGTGGCAGTGACCTGGAATATAACCTGCACTTATTCTCAGTTCCTGGCTCAAAAGACACCAAGTTGTTGTGTTTCCCTCTCATCCTTTTACAATGAAACTATAGTAAACTGCCCCACCTGCACCTGTGGCTGCCAAAACAGAACAGAACCTGGCAGCTGTGTAAAGTAAGTTTCCAACTCCAATTTATCCTTCTATAGATCTTAAACTGTTTTTCTTCTCTTGTAGTTCTTCAAAGTATGTTCATCAATTTCCCTATTCCTATAACTTATTGTTATCTTACAGTCCAGACTCCCCACATTTAGCTTCAGTTGTATCATCATCCGGCAAAGCGATAAACACGCCTCTAGTTCAATGTACCAGTCATATGTGTCCTATTCGCGTGCATTGGCACGTGAAGGTCAATTACAAAGAGTACTGGAGGATCAAGATCACAATCACAAATTTCAATTATAGAATGAACTACTCGCAATGGAACCTTGTTGTGCAGCATCCCAATTTTGATAATCTTACCCAGCTCTTCAGCTTTCAGTACAAACCACTAACACCTTATGAAGGCTTGAGTAAGTTCCATCTTTCAAACTCATATTCTTGTGAAGAAAATATTCCAATTCTCATGTTATTGTTTTGGGATATGGTTTTGCAGATGATACAGGTATGCTGTGGGGGGTCAAGTTCTACAATGATTTTCTTTCTTCAGCTGGTCCCCTTGGTAATGTTCAGTCAGAACTCTTATTTAGAAAAGACAAATCAACCTTCACATTTGATAAGGGATGGGCCTTCCCCAGAAGGATTTATTTCAATGGAGATAACTGTGTTATGCCTCCTCCAGATGCCTATCCTTGGCTTCCAAATGCAAGTTCAAAACTAGTTTTCTCTTTATTAAGTACAGTCATAGCTATTTCAACTTCTTTGTTAATCTATTGAATCAATCATAGAGAATGTAGAGATGCCATCTACTCTTTGTGAGTATTATGCACTTTTCTTCTGCCCCAGTATGTTAAAGCTGAAGTCAACCCCATATCAAGGATGCATAGGAGCTGCTATTAAAGCAACAAAAAGTGATGCAAAAGCATAAATGACTGCCACAAGAATTGTGTGCTTTATGCACCTTAGGGATTGAATTGTACCACCATTTCTATATGCAACACAATTTTTGAGCTTTTGAGTTGTATAATTATTTTGTTACTTGCTTGGATGATTATTTATTCGATTATAGAATATCATATTTATTTTTTTTTGCCTTGAGACGAAGAACCCTAGCCAAAATTCTAGGCAGAATTTTTGCTTCTGGAGTCATTTACACTCATTTTGCCATTCTGGCAATCCCAAAACCCAAGCAGATAGGTTTATCATATGCCTAGTATTTCTATGAGAAAAAAAATTAGTGTTTCAATATATAAAGGAAATACACTTGTAGGACCCAAATTACCTATTCCCTTTGTATTTCTCGTTCCTTATTCTTCTACTTGAAAAAAAAAAAAAAGACTCAGCTAAGGTAACAACCCTTAGGAGTGCTCCATGATTTTACACCCGTCCGAAACCAGCATCACTGATGCAATAAAGTTGGTTGGACATCGAGTCGGATTCGGTGTTGGATTTTTTTGGGTGAAAGTGATGGTTACAAATGGATAAAAGAGGTTGGTTTCAAGTCAAGAATATAAAATCTGTCAGTATTCAAAACTAACCAAAATGAATTGGGCTTTGTATTTATATAATAATAAGTTTAAGTTGGGCTTAATAAAAGCAATACAGCATCACAGATAGCTAAACGTATCACACTAAAATATATTAGTTATCTAGCCGGCCCTAAATTATTGAGTTCAAACCTCATATTGAAAAACCTAAAAGTGTTATTCTTTTTCTTTTTCCTCATTGTTGTATCGCTGCTTCTGTGCTGCTGAAGTGCTCTGATAGGGTTTTTAACTTTTTTCATCTTCCTCTTCAAGGTTAGCTTTTAACTACACTTTTGAATCATCCCTTTCTTTTTCTCTTTTTGTTTCTCTCTATATTCACTTGTGATAGAAATTTCTTTTTTTCTCAAACTTTGAATGATCCTTATCTCTTTTGATTTTGTGCTTAGCTTACTATTTTTGTTATTTTCTCATTTTGGATCTACAACTTCCACTATGAGTTAGGCGAACTTTGTATAACCTTTGCTATATGCCACTATGTCTACCTTTGTTGATTCATTTTTTCCTTTTTTTAAACATTGAAAATCAATATAAGTATTATTATCTTTATATGTTTTATTTGATGGATGATGGAAGAGCTTTGAAAGGGTGAGGTGAGGATTGAGAGAGTTTTAAAGGTTAGGGTTTTTCTCTCATTTTTTTAATATACATTTTATTTTGTTGGAATATCTTCATTACTTTGTGAATAATTGAATATGCTAACTTTTATTAGTATTATTTTTATTTTTATTAAATAATTAAACTTTTTTTATTAAGTTCATGAATGAACATTTGAAGGTGAATCATTGTAGAAGAAATGGAAGGACTATAATTATAATATCCTTAATTTCTTATTCCATAGAGATAATAATTTATAATAAAGGAGGGAAATGAAGTGAGTTTATTTATATTTATAGCTTAAAGATTTGAAAAAAAAGTAGAACTTACATTTTTTTTAATCCAGTTTATGAAAAAAACTCAAAGGTATAAGCTACTACAAGAAATAGTTTCTTCAATTTATAAATAGAGTAAAAACTAAAAATTTACATCCGTACTACTTTATTCATTTCACATATTAGCATGTCATAATAAGTGTGTTATAACCATATTAATTAATGAATTACGATACATGCATTATAATTACACCCGTCGATATATTACAATACTTGTATTATAATCACACTAATCAACTTGTCATGACCCACCTATTACAAACATATGTACGGAGGACAAATGTACCCATCGAGAAGTAATAAAGGGTTCTTAAATTAAAAATCCAAAATATCGTTCTACAAGGATTGTTTCCCAATTACTAAGAATTTCCTAATTCAATTGTTTAAGCTTCAAAGATATGAGATTAATTAAAACAAGAATTTATAAAATTAATTATAAACTAAGACCAAGGAATACAATGCACGTCTTAGTTAAACTTATCGGAGAGGAACCTAGGGCATATGGGTTTTCTCATTCAATCCTTTATGTTATTTCTCTGTTTAATTCTAAATTCGATTTTCTTGTGATTACCAATCATTCATACAGATACTATTAATACCTAATGGTCATACAATATTAATATTCTTTTCTCTAAATTAACATCCCCAATGATCATGCAAGACATTAATTTAAGAAAGCTTAAGGAACCTATGAACTTATTAATTTAATAATGATTAGAAGAGAAAGATTGGTTTGGTCCACCTAATCCTTTGTCTTGTTTTACCCTATAGATCTATTAATTAACCGAGGAACGGTCGCCTGACAATATAATTAATTAGGATTAAGAAAGAAGTGCAATAGGATAAAATTTAATCACAAAACAGAAATCAAATTTAGATTCAAATATCAAATTTTCATAAATTCATGAACAATAGTTCCCATATCCCTAGCTATGGACTTAGTTACTCATGCTAAAGAAAAGAACTAAAATAATCATAAACAAAACCATAATCAAAAGAAATAGTAAACTAAAGTATAAGATGTGTTCTCAGTCTTCAAGTACGATATCTTGAAGCTCCAAGTCTTGCTAAGCATGTGCCAAGGATCCCGTGCTTGAGAGACGAGATGAAAAGTGTATCCGAAAGCTAAAGACTAGATGTAAAAATAGTCCCCTTTTACGATGCCTGAGATCTTCTTTTAATAGGGTTTGAAAACCCTAAAGACTCTTGATAATTGGGCTTCTCGCAGATGAGCATGGCCGTGCAAGGCCTTAAGCACAACCGTGCATGGGCTCGAAGTACCCCTATGCTTGTTGAAAGGATCTGGGCGTGCTGACTGCTGTGAAGCTCTAATCTTCCATCAATTTGGGCCCAAAATGCATCCAACATCCACTTGCGGCCTCTTTATACCAAACTGCACAATTAATATATAAATTAGTGTAAAACCCAAATAAAATAAAGATCAAATATTAATATATGGGCTATAAAATAGGGCTTAATTATAGACTTATCAACTCTCCCATACTTATTTGTTTGTTTGTCCTCAAGCAAAATGATGGTTAAGTGAATAACATAATAACTTAAAACATAATACCACACACAGAACTCAAAACAACGAAGATAAAGAGAGCAACAAGAGTAATATCAATGAGCATAAGCAATCAAAAGGATTACCAATTAGAATCTTATAATTCCATACTTTTCACTCAAATGTCAAACGAAGGTACTCTACTTTCATCTCTCACTAAGGGACAAAATGAGATATCACTCAATTCTCCTAAAGAAAAGTGTACAACCATAGGCTTGACTATAAATCGACTCTCCACTAATTAAATTAAATGCAAGTCAAAATCATGAGGTCTTTTTCAGGTTATAATGTGGCCAAGGAGTTATAATAATTGAGGTGAGATAAATGAAAGAAAGGGGATATACAAAGGGGTAATAAATTATAAAAATTATAAACATCTCCTAAGTTTACAAATGAAGCTCTTGGAGTAATTTTTATATTTTTGTATATAAAAAATATTTTACTCCTCTCTCCTTTCAATCATGTATAACCCTTTTTCTTTTTTTTCTATTTTTCATTTTCTTTTTCATACTTTCTTTCTTTTTGCACATGAGAGATATAAAGGAGAATTAATCAAACAATTCAACAACTCAATTGCTTCATTCATCAACTCAAGGTTATCAAAATATTTTATAAATTTAATGCAAGGGACCAAGAAAATCAATAAAGCTCAAAGTGGACAACTAGTTGTATCTCAAACATGCTGAAGGCCAAGAATAAAAATCCTATTATGCCTCAATCATATTAAAAACAAGCAATTAAAAAGAGAAGTCTTAAGTTGGTTCCAAGTCAAGTTCTAAAGCACAAATCTTAAGGAGATAATCACACAAAACAATGAGGAAAGGGGTACAATTAATTAAATTAAGATAGAAATCCCTTTAAGGCTCAAAACTCACATCTTTGGGTTAAAGTTTAATGTAGAGCATAGAAGTAAGGAACTTAGATAATTATTAGTTTTCAAATTAAAGTATAATGCCAATAATAATCACTTAACATGCTCTTCTATCTGGAAAAATTGGGTTCCATGAGGGAAAAAGTTTTAAATTATCATAAAAAAATAGCATAGACATTTTACTCAAGAAGATGCAATAACAATTATATAATCAGGAACTATTCCCCCTATACTTAAAGGAAAACACATCCTCAATGTTTGAAAGCAATCAAATTAAAAACATGCAAAGAGGGCAATTGAATAAAAGGAAAGAAGTTCCCTGATAATTTTTGCCGCGACGACTTTGAGTGAGGGAGCACGACCATGCTTATGATGTAAAGCTTCTTTCACAACTGCGACTGAATGCACGACCATGTATGGGATGAGCACGGGTGTGCTTTCAGATTAGAGCTCAAAAGTGTGTGCGAGAACAATCAACTCCATTCTTGCAATCTTTCAATATGCTTATTCTTTATTCTAAAAATAAAATAACAATAGCAAAATTAAAATAAACAAAAGGGAATGAAAGTTAAATAAAAGAAAAGACACAGGTTGCCTCCTGGGAGCGCTTGTTTAGCGTCACGAACCTGACGTTCCTGTTAAATCATGGTGGAAAGAAGGTATGAGTCTCAGAGGTGACTCCCTTGATATGAAATTGTCTCCCCAACAGCTTTGCCTCTCCAACACCTATTACATCAAAAAATTTATTTATAAGATGTGGATTGGAATAAAGAGAAGAAAATTTATGCTCTAAATCAGGAGGCTTATTAATTGATGGTTTAAGTTTTTGTCTTTTCTTCTTCTTATATTACTTCCTCCTTGGCCTTCTTCTCATGGTTCCATGCCTCACATAAATTGGAGGAGGAGAAGCAACATATACAGTGCTCACAAAGTGACAAGACTCTTGGCTAGAAGGATACTGATGAATGAAATATTTTCTCATTTGCAAAAAGATTTGTCGTGAACCTTCATCAAAATATGCAGAAAAATTTATGTAGTCTAGGATGCAAGCCTAGGTCGTCTCC